TAGATAACTCTGCTCAAGCCAACATACACTGATCTTATCCATTGCCTACCTTCATTGAACCACTCTTCAGGCCTGACCCTATTAACCAGTAATCCGCAGACTGGCAGCTGGCCATTACTGTGGCAACAGTGAGCTAGGAGAAAACCGCTGCTGGTTCCAAGTAAAGAGGAGTCTTGTGAAGGACAGAGATGACCTCCTTTGTCCTATAAATGTGTCCGTTCATATTTCTGAATACAAAAACTCAGTTTCTTTTTTTTCTTTATCTGAGCAGACTTCGAGGTTATGATTAAATGTCTGTTATGCTTGTTTGATTTTCTGCAGATTGAAACCAATTCCAAGAATGGAGTGTAATTATATCATGTGAAGCCCTGCAGATTTGAACAGACACACAGACAGGAGTATTTTGAATTGCTTACAAATCTCTCACAGAAGAGCTTAATGTAATGAAAAGCATTGGTTACTGATGTTTACAGTCTCTTCTAATTTCAGTCTCTGAGCAAAATCACCCTGACATTTTTTTAAACGCAGTTTGTAACTGCAGTTTTACTCTATATGCGGGTCAAATATTTTGTATACAAACAAAACCTCTACTCATACCTGAATGATGCATATCGAATTTAAATTCTTTGCTGAATGGGTGAGAATAGAATTACTTTATTGATCCCATACTGGGAAATATGTGGCAAAATATTGATGATATTATCATCTTAAGTCAGGGTCCTCTACAGAAAAATGTGGATACTGTTTGTGTACATAATTGTGCTCTAAATGCTTCCATTATGACGGCTGTTCATCCTTGCAGTTCTGACAACATCTAAAATTACCGTTAAATACTGTGATGATAGTTGTGTTGATGCATTTTTAGCTACAGAATTAGAAGACATTTTTAAAGAGAGAGGTAAAAATGTGTTCAAATGTTTAACTTTTGGTGTCAAAATGCAGGGAGCACAAGTTACACAAATAGACTGAGTATAATGAGATGATGCTATATAACGGTACATCACACATGTCCAAATGTGTCATTACAGAGTACACCTCTTCTGTCCGTGGCTCTACACACGGGGACATCTCAATAGAGTCTCCAGAGCCGATTTTGGAATTAGCTGAACTCATTTTCTTAAAGAAGAGTTTGTGGGACTTAATGAGGCATAAGTAATGGAGGTTCCACAATCATCCGTGCCATGCTGGAAGCACCATGGCAGGACAGAGCGGCCATTGATTCTTGCTTCAAACCTCTTGAGTTCCTAATCAGCTTCTTTGGTTGTGTGTTTCGGGCCTGACAAACCTATTGTTGGCCTGTGTCACTGGAGGTCAGTAGTTATTAGTGGCGACTGAAAACAGTTTCTCTAACTACTTATGAGTGAATTGAATAACATGCATAGTGGGACTTGGAGGAGGGATTAGACTAGCAGCGCAGCGAGTCCGTCCGGCGCAGGAGAGAATGTGACATGGTTTTCTAATAAGGGATGCTGCCCCCCCCACCCCCCACCCTCCAGAACGACACACACACACACACACACACACACACACACACACACACACACACACACACACTCCTCACCTGGTCCTCCATCCTTCATCCTATGCACCCCCCCCTGCAGACATCTGTGAATAGTCTTGAAAAGGTTGCTTTGGCCCTGCAATGCCTCTTATTGCTTAAATAGTATTCATAGTAAGCAATAGAATTAGCCAGTGAAAGTCCTGTAATAGACAATCATTGTGTGTATGTGTACATGTACCAGTGTGGGCATTTCAGTTCATGCTGTCATCAAACCAAAGGCAAAAATGTGGTTTCCTGTATTTAATTTAATGGAAATCTATTAAAGTGAAAATTGCTTTCAGAGTCCTATGACCTTCTTGAAATGTTTCCCCCCTCTAGTCTGTAGGAAGATTAAAATTTGCAGACGTTTTTTTTTTTTTTTTTCTATTTGAAAGAGAAAGGAAGTAGGGAACTTTTTAGCTGGGGGGCTGGGGGAGACTTGCAGGCTTGCTGTGACTCATTCTGTGGGAACCAAGCAGATCCTGCTTTTACAGGTGTGTCACAGAAAAGAGAGAGACTGTCTCTCCTTGGCAGAATACAAGAGTTATACACTAATTAAAATCTCGCTCTGTGTCTCTCAGAACTTGCCAATTCATTGCATTCATCCGCACAGGGGCATGAAAAGCGGACCTCGCCTCTCCTAATCATTTCAAATGGACAAGATTTGAAGACTATTTCTGGGCAAGGAGGGAGAGAGAGGTGGAGGAACTTGTTGGAGTAAACCCTGAATGCTTCCAAACTAACTTGTTAAATTTTGTATCCGTAATATCATATATGAATGTGAATGCTTTGAAGTTAATTGTATACATATAAATTATCAATAACATAATTCCTTCGAAGAGATGTTGGGCAAAAAACTATTCTATTAACTTGTATTTTCTGTTTTCATTTTATCCTAATTACCTGAATTTAGTCCAACAAAAAACAAAAATAAGCTATTTCCCCTAATACTTTACTGGTAAAACTTGAATGGCAGTATGCTGTATAAGATGAGGGTTATATTTATGGTCTATGTATTTGTGTAAACCATAGAGCCAATAATGTTCAGCCCTTGCCAATTAGTGCTCAACGTGTTGCTAGGTCGCCATGGTCAATTGAGGAGCACATCAATAGGACTTGAAAAGGTTTCTCTGCGATCAGACCTTCTGACATATTAAGTAGAATAATGGGGAAGAAGGGAGTTGGGGGGGGGGATTGCAGAGACTGGGGCAAGGCTTCCTTCTACATCCACATTATGCAGTGAAACCTACAATTACCTGTGAAGAATAGTAAAAGAAATCTATACTTTGGTGCATTGCATTCCCTCCGCTTCATCTGTGCTCATCGTATGTATGGCATTGAAGTAGTTAAAGACTCTTTTCTGCTCTGATGGAAATATCAGCTTTGTGTAATAGAGGCAATTTTATAGAACGTGTAACTTATTCAGTTGCTTTGTCTGATTCCTGTTTGTGAATATGGCCTGTGTGTGCATGCATATGAGCAGAAAATGCATCAATTGTTATGAAGGCATGTGCACGTGTGTGGGTGCAGTTATAGTTAACATACACAACCTTCTGGCTCTGCAGAAACAACACACAGTAGAGGCTGCAACCCACCAAAAAACTTTCCAGACAGAAATGATGATGCCAACACCAATTACAGTGCCCAGCCTGTCTCATATATCCTTACAAAGAGAGGTACCCCCCAATAAAGCGAGGGAAGCAACAGGCACAATAGCTAGTGATTACCAAGCAAAGCCTATTAGTGCACCATAACTATGGCTATTGAAAAGAGAAAAGAATGGCTTCACCTCCACTTTCATTTCATGTGGTACACCATCGAAAATCATTGTTGACAGCTCATTCATGCCCTCAATTTAGAGACCAAATCTATCAGAAAAATCTTGCAGCATCAAAGTGTATATTGTGGAATGCATTTCTCTTTTTAATGCTCTTATCAAACTCCATTCTGATGGAGTTGTCTCGCTCCATTCAGAATGTCAGGTGCATATTGGCTCTGGTGCTTCCTTCGAGTGTGGAGATGATAGCACATATACATACAGCTGCCAGGTATGTGAAGGGGTTGGAAATGGGGGCTCTACAAGGTCTCCATTGAGACACACTGATAGCCATCATCATCATCATCACAGGTTGTCATCAGCAGAGGGATTGAGAAGTAATTTCCAAATGTGTTTAAATGACCACAGGAAATGAAATGTTAGATCCTTTTATCGGCTGCTGCTTGTGTCATAAAAAAAAAAAGGTTTTGAAGGACAGAAGCAAAGGGGATCCGACACTGATGCTAAGTGATGCTAAATATTTCATTTACCAAAAGAGATTGATCCAAGTGTGTGTGTGCACACAGTGTGATTGTGTTCATGAAAGAGAAAGTGTGACTGTGTGAGGCTGGGTATTTTAAACTATTTCTTTCTGTGACATCAGAATTTGTTCTCACTTTAATGACATGTAAAATTGAACAACTATAAAAACTGATATATCTACTTTTGTTAACTTTGGGGGAAGTCTTTGAAAATATTTGTATTTCTTTATCGTTGGGTTATTTATTGTGTATGTTTTGTTTAAAATGTGTCATAAAAAGATTCTTCAGAAATCATAAAAAGGGAGACCTAACTGACATTTTCTAAGATTTGGACGTAATGAAAGTTATTTACAAAAATGCTCTTAAATATCATCAATAATTCGCTAGTCCTAAACTATTAGGCTCCCCAAGACCATGACTCCCGTCCTGTTCACTTCCGCTAAATTTCTATTTTAGAAAGCACGGAACTTTGAATAGAAGGAAGGCTACCAAAAACATTTAGGAATTAGTAGAGTAACATTGATAAACATATTCTTTGTTATTATTATTTGTTTATTATTTTATGAATAACATTCTTCAATAAAGCGAGGCCTTATAATAATAACAATAATAATGAAATAATAATAGGCCTACTAATAATAGAAATATTAATAATAACAATAATAATAATAATAATGATAGTATACTGTAATATACCTGCAGTATAATATTAAAAAGAGGAATGTTATTCGGATAAAATAACATTCTCGTTCTTACAGTAATTTTGAGTCGTTATGCATTTTGTGAAATCTCGCACACGCAATAGAATATTCAAATACATTAAAGCGAGAGAAAAAAAGAAGCTCTAGGCATATGATGCAGTGTGAGATCAATATGTTAGAGTAGTTTGTTTAAAAGATACAAAATTATATGAATATATACGTGTGCGGAATCATGTAAGTGTCGAACCTGCTGGAAAGTGTTTGTCGTTTTTAAAGAGGGCTTTCCTGTCTCTGAGACTCGCACACATCGCTCATGAAAGGCAGCCCTCCAAAATGTCACCTGAACAATGCTGGCTCCCTCATCGACCTTGCTTTCCAGATCAATTTGGTCTCAATCACAATATAATGAAAATGCACTCCAAAAACAGATGCCCTTTAAAAAAATTACTTCTTCAGGAATAGCTCTCACACTTCAAGTTATTTATTGTTAACGTTCACTTGGTTTTGAAATATATACAGCAGCCATCACGCATTGTTCCTTTTTAACTTACAAAAGAATAAAGAAAACATAAAAGTGGACGCAATAACGATTATTATACATTTAAACGCATTCTTGTATGTTAGCCAAATATACAAGTCCCTACTTTATTTCTTAAGTCTAAATGAATACATTAGTTTACAATATTAATATGATAAAATACCAGGTTATCACCGCAAATAAGGAGTGGTGGCTCAGTGTACTCCAAACCTGATCCCATCTCCCCCCAGTCCGCACTCAAGTGAAGCAGCATTCCTTTTTGTTTCAACAACATAGACTACGTTTAAAACATCATGAGGAAGGTCCAAAACATGGATTACAAAAGGTCCAGAAACGACATAATTGCTCAAGGACAGCCATTTCTGTAATGTTCAAAAATAGACTCCCCTGTCAGAGATGTCAAGAAAATGTGCCCTGATCAGCTGGTGCGCGTCAGTCTGTGCGCCCCGTAGCCCCGTGCCTCCAACACCAAAGGCCATAGTCTCAGCATTTGCGTTTGTGGTGTGAACTTTATATATATATATATATATATATATATATATATATATATGTATATATATAAAGTTTGTTTTGCTGTTGCTTGGGCTCATCTGCAGGATCATATAGAAAAGTAAGAGTACTTTATGGAGTCCTACCACGTTCTTCCGTACAGGAGGTTTGAGCTGACCATGTTACTGGTGTAATCTACAGCAGATGTGTCTATCTGGGCCATGTTGAGCTGGCTGTGCAGTGAAGGGGGGCTTGGTGACATCTCCTCCAGCTCCAGAGCGTTCACCTGCTGCTGGCTCTGATGCTGGCTGAGACTGCTTGTCGGGGATGCGAGCACGACTCCGGCCCCGTTCTGTTGTTGGCCTTGTTGTTGGCTCTGTTGTACCTGTTGCTGATTCGGCGTCGGCGTGTTCGAGCCGTTCTGGCACGGTTTACCGTCCTTCACCAGAACTGGCACGGCTACGCGCCTCGGGGACTGCGCCTGCTGTTGGCACAGGTTACCGTCCTGTTGCTGCAGCTGCTGCGCCGCCTTGTCCTTGGCCTGGCGCTTCATTTTGTATCGGTGGTTCTGAAACCAAATCTTCACCTGGGTCGGTGTCAGGTGAATCATGCTGGCAAGGTGCTCCCTCTCAGGCGCGGACAGGTACTTCTGCTGCTTAAATCTCCTCTCCAGCTCGTAGACCTGAGCCTGTGAGAACAGCACGCGCCGTTTCCTCCTGGGCGCCGCGTGGAGAGCTGGCATGGATTTGGTGGCGTCCGGCATTCCTGTGAGACCCCCCATGCCGGTCATGTTCATACCTGTGGAAGGTCCCATGAATCTAGAAACTTAAAAATATACATACATATACGTGCGTTCAATAAACAGAAGAGGAGAACACTGTTTCGCCTGATGTAGAACTTAATTAAATATTTGCTGTTATAGATTTGGTTAATGAATACGTGTTTTAATAAAACAGAAAATAACAATGGTATTGATTATTAATAATAACAATAATAATAACAATAATAATAATAATAATAATAATAATAATAGCCTAATAATATTCCTCATTTAAGACATTTCTCTTAAATATTTTTCCACTGTCAAAGATAGTGAAAAAATTAAAGCCAGACATGAAAGAATGATCTCCTTTTCAGTTTTACCGGCAAAAAATATTTTTTTCCAAAACAAATCATTCTTAAAATAAGCTACTGTTCAATTATTATAGCTAATCCAAAAATGTATATATTTTTAAGAACCGTTTCACATTTAATCGTGCCTTTCTAAAAGTTAAATTATTGTCTCTGTATTTACTCTGAAATAAACTGAGAAAAAAAAGGACTAAAATGCAGAAAATAACTTACTTGTGGAGTATCTTGGGTCCGGGTTGGTGCTGTACCACCCTGTTGCTGCTGCACTATTCCGCATGCTTTCCTGGTACGACGGGAGGTCTCCCATGTTGCCAATGCTTCCATTGCAGTATCCCCCCATTGCGCTGTGGGAGAACTGGGAGACGGAGTGCGGCATGTGGTAAGTGGTGGCCACGGTGGCGTTGTGGCCCATGGAGTGTTGTTGCATGCCGGTCTGAGACACCTGAGGCTGTCGGTAGGCTCCCAGTGGAGAGGTTAGGTTCCCTGCGCCGTCCATGCCACTAAACTTCTTGTAGGTCTCCTCGATTGGACTCAAAATATCTGTCACTGAAAAAGGCGTAGTATGCTTTGGGCTCAACGACATGATTCAGAAAGCAGGTAGATTTTTGTGTTTGAGCAGATCAACCGTGTTGTTGTATCGGCTCTCTCCTTGGTGGATGTCTACGTAAGAGAGTGCTTGTAGTGCGCCTGAGATCCTATTGATCGCCTTGGAGAAGGAGGCGAGCCCAGGGCGCTCTTAGCCCGGGTTTATTGGAGCCAGGAGCCAGGTTTACGACAAACACAGGGGGCGGAGCGAAACCCCTAAACCAGCAAACAATAGTCATTGACATTTAAGGGAAATAATTCATGAAAATACACTATGCTTTACACAAGGTTACATACATGAATAAAAAACACCATATACGTTAGATTATTTCCTTTCTGACAACTATGAACAGGTGACTATAACACACTATTTTCCACACATCAGCTGATCTGACCACATATGACTATTTTGCGTCAGTAGGGAATTCCACTCTTTCTAGAAACTTTGAGAGCACTTTGAAAAGACATAAGGGCCACCGAGTATCATCAAAGAGGCACAATGAAGTTGTATGACCAGCTCATTTATGCTTCTTAAGCATCATTTTACCCCAGCACAGAGGGACAAGCCCAAATCAGCTCAAAACGACAAAATACTAACAGGGAGCGGCGGTAGGGATCCAACTTGTGAGTATACCTTATATTCATTATGAGGCAGGACGGGGGATGCATTACATGGGGTTTGTGACTATTTTTTGCATCAAAAATAAAAATTCAGATGTGCTTTTCTGGAACAAATTCCTCCTGTGTGTAGATTTATATTATGGATTTGCGGCATTTTAATGCGATTGTTAAAAAAAAAAAAAGAAGAGATTTTTTTCATTGAACTTAATGCAATTTGGAGACAATATCATAAGCCTCGAATCCTCGAGTCTGTTCACCATGCTTTAATGACTTTGCAGTCTTGACCTTACATTGTAATCTCTGAGCAAACTGACTGGCGCCAGGGGAAGAATCAGAGGACGAGAGTCACAACAGGAGGGTCAAAGGGAAGAGAGCTGCTACAAATTGCAATAATGAAAACCAGTTAATATAGGCTCCCATAATAGCCTATCATGTGTCCCTTATGGATCCATGACGCCTAACTGAAGCTGTACCATGCAACTACCCATTTAGAGAGAGATAGTCATTATGTTTGAATCTTTATGAATTCTAATGTTTTCCATCACGTCCAGCACCTTACAGCAGAAAAACAGGAGCAGGTGTGCTGAGGTTATTTTCCACAAATGAAAAGCGTTACCATCTTCCTTTATTGGAACAAGGAAACACTCGTCTGCATGAAACCACTAATGAAATTTAACATGGCATAACAGCAAGTAGCTGTCTACCTTTAATTGAGCATTTGAAGATGTGACATGGTCAGCCATCAATTATAGCGACATATCAAGAACGCCCATCTCCGGTTAAGTTGATCGTCTGATTGTAATAAATCATTGTTCTTGTGCATATTTTAGTACCCACATTTTCTTCTGCTTCCTCCCTCGGATGTCTAGACTTCGAAGCAGATTAGCGATGAAGAGGTCAGACTTATGTGTTGCTCATGAAAACAGAAAAAAATGGGTTAATGAAGCTGGAGTTGTCAAAAAGAATCCAAAGTAGAGAGGAAAAAACTTAAATCTTAAAATCTTTTTTGAAGAGGAGGGGTTGTATCTGCTGTAAACCAAATGATGTTAAGTGCCTATATAAAGAAACATCACTCTCCTTCTTAAAAGCCATATAGTATTTCCTATGTGCAAAATTTAATGGTCCAGATTTCTGTGCGCCTTTTACACTCTTTTGGCTGCAACCAGCTCAGTGTCTTTTCGGGGAGAAGAGAAAAGTAGGCCTCGGCTCAGACCTCTAACATTATGTAAATGAGGCAAACCTCTCAACCTTGTGGATTACTGAGTCAGAGAGCAGGACCCTGGTCCACAGATCCTCCACATTAGGATCCCATAAAATCTGGAGCTGGTTAGAGGCATACAACGCTTAAGGGAGCTCAAAATCTGCATTAATATAGTTTAATCACCCAAAGTTTACCTCCAGGAAAGAAGATGGGACCGAGGCAGAGGGAGCACTGATGCGCCATGGAGAGACGAGGAAGGCCATGCTAAGGTTTGTCATTGAATCCTACACACTTATAGAAAAGTTTCTAGTTCTTTTGCGTTCATCATTATAAAAAAAAGCACGTTTATGCTTATTCAAATGATAAAACCGTACGTGTGATTCATACTAATAAATAGCAAACACTATATTCATTGTACTGAGCCTACGCTGACCCCTGAAGCACCATGAAGAATATATTGCATCTTTGACAATTCATGACAAAGAAAAATATTTTGTATTCCTAGATTTATTTACAAGGACGTTTGTTACTTTACGCTGTAATTAGTAATTGTACCTGCAAATACACACTTACATTTTGCACCTTGTCTTTCTCCTTTGTTGGAACTTCTTTCGATTATTTCACCTCGAATTATTCCACACGCTTTTGAGAATAACTTACATTCTTACTTACAAATGAACGTTTATAAAAGATAAAAAAAAGAGCCCTGCTACTCTATAGAGAGCAGTTTGGAAGGCATGCCACCTCTGATTGATTTATCTGTATTTTGTAGATTAGTGATAAGACCTTTTGGAATAAAATCATCCTCTCAGATAAACAGTACCGGCTGTTTAAAGGAGTATTTGTTCCAAATTGTAATAAGATGGTGTTCATCATGTGTTAACCAAAACCAAATAACAAACCGTTTATGTAGTTATGTCTTACAGACGACCTTTTTCCACGATAATATCACGCCTTTCAGCTCAGCTCAGCACAGAGCAGCAGATGGACCAAAGCGCTTGGTAGCTGAATTGCTTTTCTCCATCTCGTCCTTGCTCGTTCAATACTCTGAGAGATGTGAAGAGATGGTTGAAGGGCCAGGGTCCTGACCTGCAACCTTAACCAAACACAAGCAAAGGACGGAGTGCAGACAACATGGCGGATTTATTTTAGTCTTGCAGCCCTTAAATCCCTAACTTAACTTTTAACTTTCTCTCTCTAAAGCGAAAAAAAAAATCAACATTAGGCCTACTTAAAGAAATGGAGAGTTGTCCAGTGTCGTGCTCAATTTTCTACATGTGAAGATTTGGTGTTTTTGGATAGATCTAAAACGAAAATGGGAGCGCCTCATTAAAGTAAAAATTACAGATACCAGTCGACTATCGTATAACCCAAATAAATGTTGAATTTGTCGTGCGTAATTTACGCACGGCCTTTGAATATGCTTTTTTGTTTTGTTTTATGCTCTCTGCACTTATCAGACCTTTCTGGGTGTCAGTACGCAAGGAATTCAAATAAAATGATTCCCTTTGAGAAGAGATCATGTGAAAATTGTACACATTTCAGGAGGTGTGCTTCGAAAAGGAAAAGAAAAACAGGATTCCGTAGAAAAATTACCTTCTGAGGATTTTTTCCTCTAAATTCTGAAGAAACACTAAGAGAAATCCCATCAAAGAAAAAGTCAAGTGAAGTCCTCCTTGCTACATTAAAAGTGTTTGCTATCATGTAACAGGGGGAAAAAAATCGTCTTTATACTGTTTTACCAAACCATAAAAAGATTTAAAAGCGATATACGTTTTTGTGCTTATTATAAATAATAGAACGATTCGTTGTTTTTCAAGCGTAATTACGCACTAAAGAGAAACAGTCTACTTATACCTCCGTAGAAAAGACACCATTCTACCACTTTGTTTACTGCTGTGATACCATCGTTCACAACACCACAAATAACGTGTCTTCGTCGTCACTCCTTACGATGTGAAACGTATCTTTATTGTTACCAAACCAGAGGCTGAACTCGTGAAGAATGTTGTGCAGAAAATTCCACACCTGCAGTCAGTGTAGTACCATTTAGATCAAATACTTTCTCTCCTCTTAAATCTCTGAGCAGTGAGAGAGTAAAAAGCGGGCAGGTGCATATCTTTCAGCTGCACTACTTGAAACGGTGCGGTTCCTCAGCTAAGTAGGTTAAAGGTCCTCCCAAGTGGAGAAAGTATGTGACAGGCCTCTTGAAGACCGTATTCTTCAGCAGGAGTTTGTATTCATTCACAATTAATGTCGCTCGATGGACGAAATGATGCTAATAGGGCGCCAAAAACAGATCACGGACTCTTATGTGATGCTGACCATAATCGGACGGCTGCTGAAAATGGAGAAGTCACATTGGTTATAGAATTGAAGTAGACTTTATTCTTTACGTTTCCCTGTCATGACGTGCAGCAGATTATTTACTTAATGAAGTTACAGTTAAGGATGGAAGAATTAGGCACTGGGAATTGCTTTTGCTACAAGGGGAGCCTGACGTCTTCTTGCCTTCAGGAAGCAAGTAGATTTTTGACACTGGAAAGTAGTTTAAACAAGCTGCCTCATACCAGAATGCATTGACGGTCCCTTTAATAAACTGTGCAGTTGGTGCATATGTGTACCTGAAAGAAGTAATAATGTTCTCTGAGCTTTTAAAGCACTGAGCCAAGGCCATGAGACAGCAAAAGAGAAAGTCACAGCCTGGCACAAAACTGTTGACGTTACATTATAAAAGCAGCTATTTGCTCTTTTTGATAGAGAGGATATCACCAAAAATAACTTGACAACTTGTATGATATTATATTAAGAGCAGGCGTGCCTTTTTCCTTAGAAAATATAGGCCATAGAGTTCACAGAGTTGTTTGACTTGAATATGTTGAACTTTTTTTTACGTGTTTTAAACTGCAAGTGTGTTTTGAAGACATACATTGAGCATGTTCGTCAAATATTACCTCCTGTTTAAAAGATGAGAGGTTGTTAGGTGTGAGTTCTTTAGTTTTTTAAATGATTAGACCATTTGTGTTATTTTTCTTCTATTAAGATTGTTCTAACAGATCTTTGCACAGCCATTACAAATAAGAATTCCATTGGCTCTGGTCCCTTTATCCTGTAGCTTGTCCAAACTTTAACTCAACAACATGTGGGGAAGTATGTTCAGCTCTATTTTTTCATGAACACTAATATGATCTTTTTTTTAAGATTCACTGTTTACATTATGCTGTAAAAGTGCACCAGGTAGATTCATGTACAGATATATTTATCAAAATATCCTCCAACACTCGGTCACCTTGCATTGATTTGTTTCAGGGGGATTAGTTTAGCTTTTTTGGTCGGAACAGATTTACCCTCCTGAAATTTTTGGGCACTTGTGGTTGTGTGAGTGCCGTTGTCCTCTGCATTGTTCTAAGTGGCAACATTTTAGCATGGCCGCTCTCTTTTGTAACAACAATTAAAAAAAACACAGCGGCAGATCAATAGAGATTATCAAGGTTCTGAGGGTACCTGGTTGGTGCACTCCTTTGCTGCATTAATTGTGGCAGCAGTAAGGGCAGGTAAACAAAGCTGTTGGAGAGTATGGTTGTGACTCAACTACGGCTCACCCGGCTTTGTCACCCAGAAACTCAGAGGACAAAATGTCTGTCAGGCTTTCTGTGTGTCGAGCTACCCTTTGCAGCCAGTTGTTGTGATGTGTGGAATCTGCTTTCATGACATGTCCTGAAATGATCTTTTTAATACTACACCTAAAAAACATAGTTATAAAGTGACAGCTATCCTAGAATTTTAAACTTGGATTCAAATATTTTTATCGTCATCATTTTGCAGCCAGTCTTCTTTTATGACTGTAGGTATACTTGCTATTCAAAGTCTTGTCCTTTTAATCTTTAGCAAAATTTGCCTCTCATGAAAAAAAAATTGTGCATCAATTTGGTTTTGTAAAACCATAGAGTTTGTTTTCACTGAGTTTCAGTATTTGTTACTGGTTTATATCAGATCTCATTTTAAAATGATGAAATTACTTTGGGGATTTTATTATGGGTTACAAGGCGGAGTGCGGTCTAATGCAAGGATTTGCATGCAAAGTGTATTTTCTTTCAGATAGTTTAATACCATTATCTGGCACAAAAGTTGAGTTTTGATCCTGCAAAAAAGAGTATTTGGAAACCCTTCTAGCTGCAGACATTTCACATCATCAGATGAGGGAAAAGAAAAACTAATATTAATCAAATGTGCTTTTACTCCTGAAATGCATGCAAATAGCTACAATCTGTATCAAGTATTTCCTCATGTCCATTTTTACCAGGAACTCATTTTTTCGACTTGTTTTCACATTAACTGTGAAGAGATGCATCTTCCAATCAAAAGTTTTTTAAGCACTTTGAGTGCTGTGTGTGGAGACAGAAACTTTTTTAAATGGCTTCCCAACTCAACAATGGAAATGTGACCAGAAGCTGCATATAAATGGGATAGTTCTACCAGTCTGTTTATCCCCTCTTTTGGACGCTTTTATCTAGTAGGCCACCTGATAGCCTACAATTATTTAGATGAAACCACATAAACACATCCCAAAACTGCTTTAAATTCTGAATGTATTGATCCTGACGGACACAAGCACATTCCACGTGAGGCAATTTAAATTTTAAAGTCAGAGCCCATTTTTCAGGTAAAAAGATTTAAATTGTATCCTGTTTTCTTTCCAGAAATGGAACCGGCTGAATTGAAGAACCAGTCAAAACGAGCTTTTTGTGAGTAAAACATTCTCTGCATAGAAATAAAATGGCATCAGAAATAAAAGAAATAAGAAATATTTTAGGAAACACTAAGTGTTTTAATTTAATATATTTCTTTGTGCTTGTAATTTCCTTTTACAAGCTTGTGCTTTTTTGAAGGACCGTAACTATTTGTAAACCAATTTCATTTTACTCTTTACAAAATGTCTTATGACTTCAATTAAAACTTGTGACCTTAAAATATGGTCTTCCTCTTTAAAAGGGATTCTGTTTAGAAAGTTTTGAATATATATTTAGAAAAATATCATAAAATAGTTAACTTGTGCAAACTATATAAAATGAACTTCAAATACAAATATTTGTGTTTCTACCTCAGCATAAATTTATTTAGAAAATGTTGCATTATTGTATTTCCTATATCATTGACAATTAACTTAGTCATGACAGCTTTCGGTCTTCAACCATTCTTTCTGCTCATTATGATTTAAAAAAAAAAAATTAATACCTTTGACCTATTTTTATTTGGAAAATTAAACTGATGTGTTTCAGCCTTCTTCAGCTGTTGACGGAGATAGTTCAAGCACAAAAAAGAAGATAGTACAAAAGCAGGATAATGTGTTTTTTTAATGACTTATTCAAGGCCATATTCGGTTTTCCCATGCTGAGCAACCAAAGCAATACTTTAATAGAATGAACACTGCTTCATTATTTAAGTTTAACAGGTATTTTATGGAGACATATTATAATAAAAACTATGTACACTCAACCAGAATATCAAGTTTGGAGAAATTAGACACATAAATGACAGTATATAGAGCCATAAAGCAGTAAACATGTCTGAAACGTGCTTACCTTGAAATAAAATATCAACACACTTTAGACAGTAACAACATGTGTGACCTCTACACTGCTAATTGTATGAATGTTTCTTCAGTTAAAGGAACCACAGCAGGATAAATAGGTTAAAGACCCTATTGTACAAGGCCCTAACCAGGCCAGCTCCAATACGTCCATTTTATTAATCTCCATATTCCTGGCCTTCTAAACCTTTTAAAGTTTTGAGCCAAAAGATTCAGTATGCTCATAGTAAATTATGTCGGCATAAATGGGATCAAAACAAAATAGCTTTTATCTTTTAAATTATCATTTGTCTTCAGTGTCAAAAAGTCATCTAGTGTTATAAATGAAGTTACTTTAAAGAATGTGAACAAATGACTGCATATCCCTCTTTCAACCTCCACTATGATTGACGTCTTATAACATATTAAACATCACAAGCAGAGTTAATGAAGTGATATCAATGCACACCATTATAGGCTTTAACCTCTTTATTTTTTTTTTAAATACAACAAGCTTTCTACCACACAACACCTGTGCAATCACGATCTAGCTTTGTTCTGTTAACGGCGGCACGGCCACATATTCCTCCTCACTTCTCACAACAGGTTAAAATTTGGCTAGTTTAAGAAAGAGAGATTTTGAATATTTTAAAAAAAAGAAGTAAAGTATAAAAAAACAGGAAAGTTCAAAACGTGGTCCCATTTGATTTACATGTATAACACCAACCCTTAGCCATGAGTTTATTATAGAGAATATAGTTTAACTTGATATAGAGTTCACTCCACATCTTGCCTGCTTTATAATCATCAAGTAGAAAATATATATTCAGCTATACAATGCTGGCATGTTTTATCTTTTCACAGGCCAATTCTAGATAGTGAAGAATAATTATATAATAATATAACCATGCAGTGTTAAGTCTACTGGGGAATCTATTATTACATTGTTAAATTAATGATTTTTATAAATACATGCTGTAATAAGTATTTAAAAATCTTTTTTAGTGATTTCATAATGATTCTTTGTGTTTGAGCCCTAAAGGTGGAAACATGTAGTCGTGATAAATGTTCCATATCCATCCTTTTTATGAAGATACATTTACATCAGAAGCTATTTTATTATTAGTAATCGTATTATTCAGGTCACATAATTACACTGGTCTCCTGTTGACCCCGAGTTAAAGAAAGTGTGTTTAAAGTGTAAATGTTTACCACTATCATTGTCAAGGGAATGTTCACAAAATCCATTTTCTCTAAAGTTAAAAATAATGTGGAGGAATGCAAAAACCAACATTGAAGTCCCACACAGAGTGACACGTCTTACACATTTCAAACAGTGTTCCTGCATGTGTTGCACTAAGTGTCTGCCTTTCTGCAGGCAGCGTGTAGTAATAACAAGTCTTCTCAGGGCTAATGGCTCTCTTGTTTGTTGGTTTTTGTCTCGTCTTGTTTCAGTGGTTCTTCCTCTCTGGAAGGATGTCGGCTCAGTGTGCGCGGCCATCCCTGAGGACGCTTGATGTCATCTTGTCTACCTGATCATTACACTACCTGCTCTCCTCCACAATGCTGCCCTCTCACTGCTCCGCCACTTGAAATGCTTGGCTGGCCTCTTCTCTGAAACCATCATGAAATTGTGAGCTAAAACGTCGCAGACTGTTCCTCTCCTCTCTCCTCCCTCCAGCCATGTGTGCAGGAGCCAGGAAAAAAGATTCCTGCGTTCGGACGACTGCTTCTCAGTCAAAGGGAAAACACACAAAACAGCCTTCAGCCACCTGTCTGTGTTCACCTCTCAAGTGTGTGAGATTTTATACAGTATGGCTATATCCAGGTACACCAAATGGACTCATTCTTCGTTGTTTGAAAGGCCGAGACTTACAACAAAAAAGGTTCAGTTACTTTGTTTGCCACTAGATTTGAGAGAGATGATTTTCTGTGCTCTTATATCCTTGACACTTTATAATAAACTTTACAGAACAAACAATAATGTAATGTTTTCATACATTTTTAGAATATGATAGTATGGAGGATTATAACCTTGTGCTTGTGTGTTATGTTCCATTATACAGTTTAAATAGTGAAAAGAACTATATCTTATACTTCACAATTTGTAGCTGTTCAGTACTCAGGTGAAATCATTGTATCAGAAAGTGATTTTTGCTTGTTGCTTTTAAAAGGGGGAGTAGATTGTTTTACACACATGTAGCACCAGTAAAGCACATGAGGTGAGGTTTCTAAAATGAACAAGGACTGGATTTCATTGGACTGCTGTCGTTTCCAAGGTCCAGGTTCTGAGCACGCTGTCTCATTATCGCACTGTCATGACTATTTTCAATCTAGTTATTAACTCCATGTGCTCTTCCTTTTAATGTCTGAAGGGAAATGTATACGGTCAATTTGTAGTGTGGAGTTCAATGTGGGAACTGAGACGTAAGGATAATCCAAGGGCACTGATAGTGCAACTTGTTGACTGACTGTCTTTCCTGGCAAAACAGAAATATTTTATTTTTGATCATTTATGAAAATACTGATGGACACTTTCCAGAACTAAACTGTGAGCGACTGTGTCATCTCATCTACTCTCTCACACTTGCAGTTACTTAAGTATGTGTAACCTAAAATCATCTGGATTATTATCAATATTCTTATTTTCACGTTTTGATTGCACATAAAAAATGTTTGAATATGTACTCTGCATCTTCTCTGTTCATGGAAAGCTTCACAGGTTAAGAGTCAGAAATAATAACCACTAGCCTGTGACCGAGGTCTCATAAACCATCCGACAAACTTTTAAATTATGTTTTTTTTTTTTTTCCTTAAACCGATGACTGTGGGTATTTGTCTGGCATCACTTACACTTACACAAGCTGCTTTAGGAAAAGATCTCTTACAAGCCAGCATGAGAGGAAGAAATAAAAACAGCAAGCATAAGCTATTGCTGTGTTGATTCGAGCACCTAATGATACATTGCAAAATAACTTAAAAAGTTGTGAATATCTCCTTTAAAGTAAACAATATTTGTATGGTTCTATCTTACACCCTGTAATATAAATGACATTACATGATGTGCCTTTAAAAGATAGATAAAGGTTCATTACAACATTGTCAGAAAACTTGAGTTATTAAAGTAAAGTCTAAATAACTTCACATAAGACACCTGGTCATATGATTCACTTTTCTTATTCTCTCACTCGTTGAGTTACTTTTAACATTAACTTCAGCATTCTTAAACTCCCCGACTTAATATTATTTATATATATATATATATTTATATTTATATTATATTTGTTGGTAACGCATAACTAAGAAGCCATATTCATCATGCAGGATTTGAATATGCTTATAGTAGCTGCTGCATTTCCTCAGCGATCTCTGTCCCAACCATAGAATTGAAAGATTGCATCTTGTGCCTCCTACCAGTCCTGTATGTCTCCGCTTTGCTTTGCTGCTGGACATTTAGAAGCACAGAGCATTTTACAGAGGGTTGCTAGCCTGATTTTCTTTCTGGAGTGAACTGAAATAGCTAAATAATTTACATTGCAAAATGCATTTAAAAGCCAAAAATGTAATCAATCCACATTATTTTTCAATGGTAAATGGTAAAAGAGTCTTGAGCATTTCTGGTCTTATGACTAGTCAAAGCGCTTCTGCAACGCATTTACACACCTACCCATTCAAACACTGATGGCAGAGATTGCTACGCAAAGTAACCATAAGAAGTAACTAATCACATTTACACGCCACTGACACAGCAGCCCGAGCAACTTGGGGTTAAGTGTCTTGCCCAAGGACACATCAGACGTGTGCCTGCAGGATCTAGTGATCGAACCCACAACTGTCCGGTTGAGAGGCAACCGACGCTACCAACTGGGCCACAGCCACCTTAATCTCCCAAAGTAGGCTAACCCACTTATACAGTATACACAGGTATCTTATTGTCTAAAGCTTATATGATTACAAATTAATTAATTAAAAATATTTTTTACAAAATATCAGAGGTATCATACTGGACACACATACTGTTAGCTGTTTGGTGGAAGTTAGAAAAATCAAAGCTACTGCTAAAAGTTACCATTTAAAGTACTGGGTAGAATTAAAACGTGGGGTGTGGGGAAAACGGCAGTCCCTCAAAATGCTTCATGTAACAATAGGAGACCTGCAATGATATGTTTCTCACCGTATGTGATGCATGTGAAGAGTCATTGGTCACTTTCAGTGTATCACAAATTGTGTTAGTTAGATTATAATGCTGTAATTGTCCTTAATCTAGCCTGACACAGCTGATTGGTTTAAACAGAAATGTATCATGTGATAATGTATATTATCTTTTTTTTCTGCCTTGTAAATATTAAAACTGTCAGATAAACATACAGAGATGTAATGAGGTGTACAGGATTACCTCCTAAAGCAAGACTCTCCATATAATCAAATCAAGCACAGAACCCGTGTTAATGTACTCATATAACCTTCAATACATATACCTTTTCCCCCCTCAGTTATTATATGTACATACACATGGGGGACTTCTGTTGTGTGTATAATATCCAGTAGTGATGAATTTCTTCCATTGATTTTTGATCATTGATGTAAAATGTTCAACACCATAAAAAAGCACAACATGTGAAGTACAACTTTAATTCCAACTGAATGACTTTTTTCAAACTGAAAAACAAAAATGTAAAACTATTGTTATGGTGACATTCAGTCAGAATACAGAAACCAAGTCTCAGTATTTTCAGTCAGAAAGATTATTTAGAAAATAAATAATTAGCCAAATCACGTACACATGGATTAAGAATACATTCATATCATGTCAAATGAAAAAATAAATACAATTTAAATATACAAAAGTGAAAATACACACACATTAATCCTGTGAAATTGAATATATACAAGCAAAGCTTAAGTTCAGTGTTGGAATAAACATACAAATGTCATATTGAAGTGGAATACTCCTTTTGTACGTAATACATTTAAGACAACAATGCAAGATGCCTGAACACTGGATGAGGTAAAACTGGGACTATGGATCGGAGAGCAGACCCTGGATGAGGGAGGGAACCTGGAGGCTGAGCAGGAGGTGGGTGTCAGACATATAAACTGAGCTTTAACAAAAAATGTTTGATGATGGATATACATTAAAGGACAATAGCTACTAGATTTGTATAAAAATCTATTTGTATAATGAACAAGGAAATATACAAAGACAAGTGAAAGTCTAATACACTTACTTGTGTATATTTGTGCTCCCACCCTCCTCAGAGGGCTCATACACCCATGACTTTGTAACTTCCCATCTCAGCTTTGTGTTGGTCAGGTGCTAAAAGTAAGTCTTCCATTAGTGTCATATGTGAATGTAGTTTCATTTGAGTCAATAACACCATTATCCCTTATAATACCAGTGTCAAATAATGACAAGGGACAGTTTGCTGATGGGAACTTGTTTGTGTATGTGTGTGGATGAAAACAGGGTCACTGAATTGTATATGTGACTTTAGAAGGTAAATAAATTGAAGGTTATTGCTTCAATCTCCCACATCAGCAGTAGCATAAAGACTAAATGTGATACATAATGCCAGAAAGTGCATCCCTCGATCATATTGTGATACCGCTCCTATTCAGCGAACCACAAAAGACACACAATGGAGAAGCTTTTCTTTCTTTATTTTCCATTCAGTTAGCTCTAAAAGACATCGTAAATTCAGCACAGGGTACAAGTGCACAAACACATGATAGGCACGACTCGCTACACATATTTGACATCCTCTTTAAACAGGAAGCTAATTAGGCAGCTTGAATTGGTAAAACACGTTGCTGCCACACTGCTGCTCTTTGATCATCACGCGTGCTGATTGAAGCATGTCTGAAACAGATGACGGCCGCTTGTTATCAGGCTCAAAGCCCCAGGATCCATTTGCAGTGTTGGCATCTCAAGCACCTCATGTTCATCCTCTGAAGAAGGTGAGACAATCCATTAAGTGAAAGGCATAAACACTCAACTCTGGGAACCTGATTGTTGGCGCTGTCCCCCATCCAGCCCATCTGACTGCAGCGGACTGTGGGTTTTATACAAGACAACTCAAGGCCTAAGATGGAACATCGAGAAAGAGAAGACAAAAGGAAATAAGACCATATGGCACTTTGAATATCATAACATAGTTGCACAACTTTTTTTTCTTTAAAGACCTCAAAGCTGTAACACTCAGAGGATAGAGCTGAGCTGAGCTCTACATATTAATTATCATGCAATGTTGTTTAAAAAAACCTGCAAGAGACAGAACATTTTCAGAAATTTTAATGAACAACGTGACCTATATCATCCTAATTTTCAATTTGAAACCCAAGCAACATGTTTCGCCTCATGTTTGACTCCTATACTTCGGTCCTCTTCTTTGTTAAGCCTGAATTTATTGAATAATTAAAAAGAGGATTCAATTTAATTAAAAAAATGTGAAATGGAATAACATGAATATCTCTGATCTTTTACACAAATGTATTCGAAAACAATAGTTTGTTTATCAATATCAATTAGTTCCTTCTACTTCAATTTATGTTAAGTGCACAATTGAACAACGCATGCTGTATGACTGCCCCCCCCAAACATTAAAAGGATCCTGTGCACAATTACTGGTATCGATCAGTGTTTTAGTCACTAACAGAGCCATAGACACATCCCAGGGACAGCAACTTTTAAAAGTTTTGTATCAGCTCAGAAGTCACCTTGTTCAAGAAGCAGTTCTTTGTTAGACTAGCAGTGATACTTTTGTCAATATGTGGCAGCGTGTTTTTCAAATCTCTACATGTGTGTGTGTGTGTGTGAGAAAAAGAACCATAACAAAGATGCTGCAACTTCCAACCAAATTAATCTGTATTGTCTCCATTATGAGGTTTTTTTGTTCAGGAAGATGTTAGCTTTAACTTTTCTAGATGTTGTATGTGGCAGCATGAGGAGCATTAAGAATAGGTATTTACTTTATGAATTCATATTTCTTTTTTAGCATTGTCTGACTATTGTTAAGAATTTAGGAGCTTAACAACAATTTAAGGCAGCAAAGAAATCAATCTATTAAAATTGAACAGGGTGACTTGTAAAAGAAAGAATAAAGAATCTCAGTTGATGTACTCGATGTTGGTTTAAAGCTCAACTGTAGTCTCTAAGAGTGTCCAACTTCTCCCTTGTACATTTTACCAGCTCTGAAAGTGATGGATGAATGGGTGTCCTTCTATAATTTTCAGTTAAGTACCAAAACATGCACACTACTGATAGCAGGATGAAGCTGAAATAAACAGTTATACTTCCTTCACAATGAAATTTTGATAACCCAAAACAACTTCTTATTTTGAAGGTCACATTCCTTTTTTTCTGGGCTGTCAGAGAAATAGATGTAGTATGCACCGGTGGAAGATTAATAATACATACAGAATCCACTTCATTGTTTCTTTTTCCTAAAAGATAGACACCGCCAAGATGTTTCATACCTGATGAGATCTTTACTTCTTCTCTAAATTTGTAATGATGATAAACAACTGATTTATCACTGATACATAGAGTGGATCAAAGACTCTAAAATTTAAATAATGCCAATAGATACAGTTTAAGTTCATTCTAAAGAAAAAAAGCAGGTATGATTTAATTAGTTCTTTATTTCATTCATAATTGTACATATTGACAGTCCAGGGAATGTAGAAGCAGATGGTGAAATGTATCTGCGAGGGAGAAAAACCTTCCCTGTCCACCAGATCACATCATGTGTGTGTGACCTGTGATCTGT